ACAGGCTTATCAATGGGCATATCTGCCTAGTGGCTGCAAGACCCTCTTGTCTTGCAGGGGACCCTCGTGTCTTGGGGGACACAAAGTGTCCCCAAACCAGACACCAGCCACTGGAAGCTTGCCTTGTTAACACAAATATAAAGAGACACAGGAACAGCATGCACTTATCACAAACTCCTTGAACACGTGGGTGGAATGTCACTTACATAATCTGGCCATCTGACACAAAACCTGGCTTTCTTAAACCAGGAGGAGCTCGAGGTCTCTGTTAAAGGGGACTCTTTCCATTTTACACCAGGGACGGTGCTCACAGCATGAGCGACGCCTGTCAGTTATCAGCATTTTAGCAGACTGTGCCAGTGTTGACATTTGTTCTTGGCTGAACTGTGTGCGAGTGCGTGTTTGAAACAATGACGCAGCTGTCCCCATCCCTGGCAATTAGGATGTAAAAATGGTGTTCGGCTGACTCTGGCATGTGATTGCTTATGCATGTGTTTACTCTTTTGTTTGCCAGGCTTTCTGAGTGTTTGCTACGATTCTACAATCAGAACATGCATTCAGCTTAAAATGGAACCCAGATCCATATTAATAGCAACAACGGCGACTGCAGACCTCCATGTTGCAAGATTTTCGGTGCCTGGCCCAGCACAGATGCTAGTGTTCGTGTGCTTGTTAAAGATGCTTCTCTGACCTGCTGTGAAGGCAGTCAGGTTAAAACACCGCCAGGGGTGGAAGAGCAGGGTCAGCACAGGCACACTGGAGGTGCTGCCCCTTTGCCAGGGAGCAAGGGATCCAGGTCCATCCCCCAACAGAATACTGCCACCACGTCCTGTCTGTGGTGCGTGTCGCCATCAGTCTTTTCACCGCTCATTCAGGCAGGTGACCTGTGCCATTGAGGAGAGTACGTGCCAGGGTTTAAAACTGTTCCTTTCCCTTGAGTATTTTAGCTCTTGGCTTTTTGTTATCCGATCAGCCTGTCAGTGATAGTGTGGGGGAGGGTGGAGGCCAGTTCCTTATTAGGTCAGGGCAAGTCTGAAAAAATAACTTATATTTTGGAAAACTGTTTGACGTAGTCATTAAAGCGGAACATAGGCGCATTCTATGACCCGGAAATCTTGCTTCTAAATACTGATACCCAGCAGAGATGCGTGCATATATATTCACCAAAAGACACACACTAGAAGGTTCACGGTGGCAACTACCCAAATGCCCATCAACAGTGGAGCAGACAGATGAGTTACCTGTGGTCTGACAGTGGCCTACCATACAGCAATGAGATCGAACAGACTGTGACTTTATCTACAAACTATAACACGCAGGCTGTTAGTGCTCTGTCTCAGGGAAACAAATTACTGCAAACTACAAACTTAGGGCTGAAAATAAAACAGCTCGCAGGTGAGTAGGTCCTAAATCTGGGCCCGATGTAGCTGGGTTCTCTGCTGTGCCTCACAGGCTGAAGGCGAAGGGGGCTGGAGCTTAGGACCCCGTCAAAGTAAGAAACGTCCAAACCCGCACAGAAGTTGTATGAGGTTGTTTGAGCCGAACTGACAATTGTTGGGAAGCAAAATCTCAATGGATTGAGCAAATGCTCTGGAGAACGGCAGTTTTACAGCTTATTTTATACACCAGAATCAAAGAGGAGGGGACGTGGGCGCGGGGTGGGGGTTACATGAAATCCATTGGTGGTAGATTAGGGAGGGGGGAGAAAGCAAAGTGGGGGAATCTCTGAGACTGGACAGAGTAAAATGGAGAGACAAATGCTAATTTTACACTGGTGGGTAAAGGAGAATTAACAACGCGCACAGCACACAGAGATGGTATTGTGGGAACGTGGGAACGAGGGGCGGTTCTGTGGTCTGGAGCTCTGGCGCAGGTGTACCCTGAGGCCTCTAAAAGGGATTATTACTCTGACTCCCAGAGCTGTGTTACCTGAGATGCACAAAGACAAGGGACAGGCTTACTTTAAATACATACACATTGACTCCGGTGAAGGAAGAAGCTACTGGCCCCAGACGTGACTATGGCTAGGACGTGCTTTCAGTTAGGAGTTTTTATGTGCAGACCGTCCTGCGTGGTTGCTCCAGGTCTCTGGGTGTGTAAGGCCTGCCACGCCGGGCTTCCCTGAGCTTGTCAGGCTCAGTGTGCGGCAGAATTCAGGGGCTTTCTGTGACTGGAGAACAGGCTCCCATTTCCTTGCTGGCTGTGAGCCAGGGGCTGATTTCAGCTCCTGGAGGCGGGCCCCATCTCTTGCCACATGGACCCACCTGTTTGTGGAGTCAACAATGGAGAGCTTCCTGCATGTCCATCCCTCTCGTACCTCAAATCTCTTCCTCCAGGAAGAGCCCAGTCCCTTTTGAGGGCTCATGTGATCAGATCCATTGAGAACAACCTCACTAAAAACTGATTTGAGCCTTAATTACATCTGCAAAATGCCTTTACAGCAGCACCTAGATTAATGTTCAGTTGACTGACTGCGAGAAGGACTAGAGAGGCTGGTGGAATCTTGGGGCCATCTTCCAGCTCCACCTACCATGCACGGCGTGTGAATGAATCGCACAGTCGACAGCGGCCAAAATAATTCAGACATGAAGGTATAGTAACATCCAATTTCCTTCGTATAAAACACAGGAACAGGAAGCACTGACCTTTGTGACAAGTCAAAGAATTGTCACTCTTTTTTTATTTTTATTTTTTTATCCTTACCTGAGGACATTTTTTTCCTTGCTTCTGGAGAGAGAAAAGGAAGCATGGGTGAGGGTGGGGACGGAGCAAGATGGAGGGAGAGACATCAGTTGGCTGCCTCCTCACAGGCCGCCACGACCAGGATCCAGCCAGCAACCTGGGTATGTGCTCTGACAGGGAATTGAACCTGCGACCTTTTGGTCTAGAGGGCGGACTCTCCAAGCAACTGAGACACACCAGCCAGGGCGTGGTTACTCTTGAGTACGTGGTAATTCGAAAAGGAAAGAAGGGTGGTCTCAGGGGCTGATCATGTTTTTGTTTCTTGGTCTTTGTCCTAGTTACATGGTTGTGTTCCACTTGTGAAAACTCAGCAAGATGTACATTTTTAGGATAATCTGGATTTATTACTTTAAAATGGGGTTTTAAAGGAAATATGCACCCCAAAGACAACTATCAAAGTGGGTACCTAATGGGGGTGGAGAATAAGGAGGAAAAGAAAAGAAATGGCACCTTGCCCGGAGCAGATGATGGTGGCATCTCCTGAACTCTGTGGGGGTGGGGGGCACCTAGGTAAAAAATTGGAACTCTGTCAACTTGGACTTGTGTGCAAGACCTGCCACGTAATTTGTGTGGCTCAGTGCAAAGTGAAGTGCACGGCCTCCTTGTTCAAAACTGACTATGGATCGGAAGATGGCAGGAGTGGGACATTAAGCCAAGAGTGGGGTTTGAGAGGAGGCACTGGTCCCACTCCGGGGAAGCCAGCCCTGCCTGTGTGCATGGGAGAAAGAGCCAGGTCTCTGATTCCAAAGACTTCCTGCTTGGTGAGCTAGTCTGGGCAGCTAGAGCTGTGATCCTTCCCTCTGTAAAATAGGTCGGCCAGGGGTGAGGAGGTGCTAATTAATTTACATATGCAACTGCAAGCACTTTCTGATGTGTAAGAAACCAAACATCAGGTTTATTATAATAATAGGTCATCCAAATGTTTGTGTTATTTCCTTAATTGGTTAACAAGCATATCTGTGAGCTCGTGGGTAATATTTATTTATGCATAAAGTCTTCATAGGTAGCATGGGGTCCATTTCCACCTTGTGAATTCACACGAATTGCAAGTTATGGGTGGAACACTAATCATGAGATTTGACCACGCATTTTTGGTCTTTCCAGTTCAAAAAGGAAACTATTCATTGCCAAGGCCAGAGCACTGGAGTCTGGGCACTTCCCCACCAAAGTTCTTTTTCTTGCTGCTGTTGGAGTTTCAGGCAAGTTGAATCCCTGACCTGACTCTAGAACCTCCCCCGGTGGCTGGAGGGCCCTGGGAAGGGGCGCCCTAGAATCATCCAGTGAGGGCTCAGTGGAGAACGCCACGGGCACGTGACTCCCTGGGCGCCTGGAGACTGCGGTGTGAGGATGACAGAGCTGTCGCTTGGCGTGAAGGGCGGGGTGTGGGAAGAAAGAAGAGCACATTTAGAGGTTAGGATTTCTGAAGAGGACGACTTGGCATTGCATTTCTATGTTTATTTTCCATGGTGTGCACTCTTGAAGCACAAACCTTTGTAGACTTGGTGACTTACGCTTTGGAGGACTGTGGTACTCGAAGGCGGCCAGCCGCCTCACCTAAGATTTACGGGTGGTTCCTGGGATGAGACAAGCTCCCAGTGTCTCGGTGACAACAAGGTCTTTGACGAACAGCCGAGAGCTGCAGTTGGGGAGGGACAGGAGGCCTGTGGCAGGGGCCGCGAGCCCCTGATTTTCCTCTTCGAAGGAGTTAGGCGCTTGGGGCCATCGGCATGCAGGAGCCAAGCGCGCCGTCCTTGAAGGGCAGCCCGGCTGACCTTGCTCCGCATTCTCCGGAGAGATCTCCGGGAGAGCGTGAGGACGCGGCCACTGCGGTGACTCAGTGCCCAGCGCGCCGCATGCAAATGTTCCCCTCCAGCAAGTCCAGCTTTGCAGCCGCGGCTTCCCTTTCCTGCCCCCTTTTTAAATTCCACAATTCAAACCCGGCGTTTTCCGCTCCACCCCTCCCCCTCTCCACCGCCCCCCTAGTCGTTAGCCAGACTGTCCGGGTGTTTTGTTCCCCACCTCCCATCCGCAGAACTGAAGGCCAACCTTCGCGCTCCTTCGCTGCGGGCCTGGGATCGGACGTGGCCCGTGGGCGCAGGGCACAGCGCGGGGTGACCGCGAGCCGGAGCCCGACCGAAGGGGGCGGTGCGCGGCGCTTCTGGGCGCACCCGTGGACGGCGCTCGGGCCCCGCTCCCCATTGGCCGCTACCTCGGCGGGAGGGGCCGCCCGGCGCTTGGGGCACCTGGCGTTGCCCCTCCGCTGGGAAATCGGCGGATGCCGGGTGCTGGCGCCTGAGGTGAAGGCATTCGGAGGGAAGGCCCGGGCCGAAGGAGAGCTCCCAGCAGCCAGCCCTCCCCTGCCCGCCGCCCCGGCGCAGGCGACGCTCGGATGCCCCCTATGCCTGCCGCGCCAGCCGGAAACTTTGCCCCGAGAAGTCCCCATCCTTCTGACCGCGCCGAGAGGCGCCTAGTCGGCCGTGTGCCCCACGGGGCCCCGGAGCTCCGCGCGTGATTTCGGGGACCCCTGGCGCTTGGCGCCTGCCGCACCCCGCCGCGCGCGAGCGGCAGCAAGAATGCGCTACTCGGACCCCTCGGCGAACAGGGATTTGTTGGGGAACCGAACTTTGCTCTTCATCTTCATCTGCGCCTTTGCCTTGGTGACTTTGCTGCAACAGATCTTGTATGGCAGGAACTACATTAAGAGGTGAGGAAGTCCAAGTGCGGGTGGGAGTGAGCAGAGCCCGCGGGTGAGCCCCAGGTGGCGTCCCCAGCGACCACCTGGGCGTCTCTCGGGTGAGTGACCGATTAGTCTGCCCTTAGCCCCGGGCACCTCCGCGTTACGTTTAGGTCACGGAGGTGCTCTGAAGCGCATCTCTCCTTCCAGCGAGAGAACGGAGCGCCTGCCCAGCCCTAGCCCGAGGGGCCCAACAACTTTGTTCTGTTGTGAAAAATGGGGGTTGGTTTGGAATGCTGAGTGGCCAAGCTGACGATGAATCCACTGAATGTCCAGAACGGCCACAGGGGCCAGATTGGTGTCCCCCAAATCTGCGGTGCTGTGGCCATTTGGTTGGAGGTGGGACTCCCGGGAGTGGGAGGCTCAAACCAGATCCTTGTGAGCACTGAACTTGTGGGGGCCCTTGGGAGCAAAGGCACATCCCTCCCTCCCCCAGGAACGTCGGGTTAGGTGGGGGAGATAGTAGGCCGAGACGGATGGACAGGGAGTGTGAACTCAGAAACCTCTGGACCTGCGAAACACAACCTGATCCCTTCGGAAACTGATGGTCCTTTCTCATCCCTTCGCGGAAAGTCAGAGCTGCAGCCGGAGTTAACCTTCCCTTTGTTGGGCTCTGCTCCAACCCCACTCGGAAACTCGGGCCCAGACTCGGCCCCTTCTGCCCGCTCTGCTGGCTGAGGAGAAGCGCTTCGGGTTACTCTGCCTGGTTTCAGGGCCCGGGAAGAGCACAGCCGGCTATAGGATAGGATCCACCCTTATCAGAACCTCTTTTGCCAAGAGCCCACCTCTCCTTTCTGCTGGAGGTTTTTCCTTTGCTGCCAGCGTCTCGTTCGTTATTCTCACTGCCCCTCTCTGGGCCGATAGAAAACAAATGCCTCTCTAGCTATATGAACATCCCATCTCTTCTCTAAACTTCCAAATAATAAAACAGCTGTTCTGTTTTCTTCCTATGGGTTCCGCATTGGTCATCGGTGCTCCCTCCAAGCTGGGCAATTTGGGCTGCTCGTGGGGACGGGAGAGTGAGGTTTGCTTTGCTGCTGGGTCTGGCACTCTCAGCAGGAAAGCCAATAGGCCATCTCCCCTTTCATGTCCCAGGGCTGGGGAATACGAGGCCCTTCGTCCTGGACATCTGCTTCCAGACAGTCCCTGCTCTGGACTATCCTACAGTGTTCTTCCTCGGTAGAAGGCAACTGATAAGCATGGGGCTGGTGACTTTAAAGGGCATCTTCAGAGAACCTCCTGGCTTGCTGGAGCCCACTGGGCCTGCTTCTTCTTTTGGTTGATGCGCCCCTCCCCCATGTCTGTATGCAAGGATAGCTGGGCCCCACAGGGCCTGCTGCAGCCCCCTCTTGCTGCACTTGTTCCTCAGCATGGTGGCTCTGGGTTCCTGCCCCCTGTTGGCACCTACCCAGAACTGCAGGGGCTGCAGGGATCCCTGCTGCCTTGTCAACAGTGGGAGAATATCAGTGACTGTGGCCCATGCCAGCTCAACCTCTGCAAGTGCCACCCTGTGCGCCACCCCCGCCCCCCAAGGTCCTGGGTGGATGGACTAGCTGCCTGGAGTTCAGCAGACATACCAGTTGCTCCCCATCCTCCCTCACACAGAGACCCGGGACCCTAAGTCTCAGATGCCACCCTGCTCAGGCCTTACTCCAGGGACTTGGTTAATGAAGCAAGCAAAATGTGTATGTTCCTGATTCTGGAAAGGTGCCAGAATGATGTGATTCTGATGTTCAGAGAGATTGAATTGTTTAGGGAAACAAAATGGCCACAAATGAGATAGTTATGAAGTAAATATTAATATATCTGGGAAGGGAGGAACCACTGGGCTGAAGTAGTTAGGGAAGGCTTCCTGGAGGAGGTGGAACCTGAGTGGGTCCTCGAAGGACGATACGCTTTGGGTAGGTAGAGGGGAAGGGCACATCCACGACTAAAGTAGGCAGCAGCAAAGGTGCAGAGATGTGGCGCCACCTCCTCTCTCCTCTCCGAGGCTGCCCTGCCCACACTGCAGCACCGGGTCTAACCATTGGTTAGTTCTTCCTGGAGCCGCCCTGTCCCTGAACCGGGTTCTTCCTCTGACTTCTTAAGTTGGACGCTTATCTCCTTAATTTCCAGTCTTTATTATTTTCTAATGTAATCTTATTTCCTCTAAGTACTTCTCTAGGTATAGCGCTTAAGTTTCGGGTTGATGATGGTGATGATAACACAAAACTGTGTTGCATTACATGTGCCAGGTCTGGTTCCAGTGCTTTATGTATTACCATACTGAATTCTAACAATAGATACTATTGCTGTTTTCATTTTATAGAGGAAGAAACTAGGCACAGTGAGGTTAAGTAATTGTTCAAGGTCATACACATAGTAACTATCAGAAGTCCTTTCATCATTTTGAATCCCAAGTATTTTCTATTTTCTATTGTCATTTTTTCACTCAAAATTTAGAAATGTTCTAAAATTTCCAAATACTCTTTTTTTAAACTTATCTTTAACATTTTGAACTCAAATGCATTCTCATGGGAACGCATGGTATTTATGATGCTAATTCCTTGAAATTTGTTGAGATTTGCTTTGTGGTCCAGTATGTGGTCGATTTTTGAGTACTCCATGTGCACTTGAAAAAAATGTGATTCTCTCATTATTAAGTGCAGGATTCCTACATGTCTGTTCAATCAAGTGGTTTTGTATTTTTTCAGTCCTTTGGATTCTTACTGGTATTTTTTCTGTTCTGCTTGATCTGTCAGTTTCTAAGATGTGTGATGAAACCTTCCTCTGTGATGGGTGATTTATCCGTTTCACTTTATCAGCTTTTACCTTCTGCGTATTGGAGTGATATTATTCGATGCATACTAGTTTAGCTATAGTGTCTTCCTAATGAACGGAATCTTTTGTTATAATGTAGTGACTTTTTTATTTCCAGTAATACTTTGAGTCTTAACGTGCATTTTGCCTAATATAGTGAGACAGCTTCCATTTGGTTAATACTTGCTTGTTACAGTAATATAATGGCCATTACAGGGGATGCATGAATTATGGGGATTGGCAGATGCCCCCAAGGCAGCTACTGGCTTTAAAACTCATCTACTATTTCTTTCCTTGCCAGATTATTCATCCATCTAAAGAGGCATTTTTACATATTTTAATCATTATTTTAGAGTTTTTAGTGGGAGATGTTGCAGAGCAGGTCCCTGGAAGGCAGACTGTCAGCCAGAGATTCGCGCGCAGCGTGTTTAGTCGGGTGTGTTCTGGGGTCCACACGTGGAGACCGGAGACCGGGCCGCGGGAGAATCAGCTGCAGTGCGGCCCCAGAGGGGGCCCTGGTCAGCCCTGGCCAGGTGGCTCAGTTCGTTGGAGCGTCATCCTGTCACCGAAAGGTTGCGGGTTCGATCCCTGGTCCGAGTGCATCCGAGACGCAGCAGCCGATCAATGTCTCTCTCTCTCTCTCCCCCTTCCTCTCTCTCTGAAATCAATAAGTATATCTTGGGTGATGATTAAAAATGAAAGGCCCTGGCCACCCCCCGCAGGGAGCCCTGGGGAGCTGCCACAGCGGCGAGGCCAGCCTTCACGTCTCCGTGTGGAGCGCTCGGTCACTGGGTGTGGGCCGCCTCTGGAAGAGGAAGTCATCTTGGTCGAGCTGACTCTCCTCACGTGAGACAGCTCCCAGAGGGGCCCGAGAGCCGGGGCTGCCGGCTCCCAGCACCCCCACCAAGTGAGGGAGAAACCCTTCATTCCTGAAGGGGCCTGTTCTTCTGAAAGGGCGCCAGTCACAGAGGGTTCCCCATCTGCCGTTTTGCCAGAAACGCAAGTCTTTGAAGGTGGTCTCCATCCCCTCCCTCCCAAACAGGTCTCACCCACTCCGATTGATTAGTCTGTGCCTGCAGCCCCACTCGTTAACAAAAATATTTTATTTATTGTTTTTTAAAATCCTCACCCAAGGATATTTTGCTTTACTGATTTGAGAGAGAGAGGAAGGGGGGAGAGGAAGGGGGGAGAGAGACAAAGAGAAACATCAATGTGAGAGAGAAACATCCCATCAATGGGCACATCACACCACTGTTTGTGTTGGGGAGGATGCGCCAACCAATTGAGCCACCCGGCCAGGGCATCGAAGTCCCGCTCTTAAAGGAGAGCATCGCTCCTGACAGCCAGGGGTCCCTTATCCACATCGCGTCCGTCCTGACTCTGTGCCTTTTCCCACCTGGTGCCCCCACTGCCGCGCCTTCCCAGCTGTCTCTCTCTGCCAGGCAAACACCACTTGGGTTCCCAGCCCACCGTGTTCTCCCCGGCTCTGACTTCATCATGCCTGTGCAGTCTGGACTCAGCAGATTCTCTCGGCACTCTCCTGTTGCTCTGTGTGACTGCACAGGGGACAGGAGCTGAGGTGGGGCCTACTTTGTCCTGCCTCGGGCAGAGAGGACTCTCTTCTGTCCTCTGTCTGTGCCCTGCCTTCCTCCCTCCTGCGCCTCGAGGGTGTCGATCTGGGCTGCCTGCGTGTGGCTGGTGCAGGCCTGAGACTTGAGGATAAGAAACTGGGTCAAGGAAAAGTACTGCCTGACTTTGCGCTGTATCCAAAGTGTATATTCAAAATGCTGTCATTGCTGAGCCAACTGTCCCCCCGCCCAGGAACAGTGGGGTCCCAGGAGATGAGGACCATGGGACAGGGGATCGAAGCGAGGGGTGGCTCTGTAGGGAGAGGGTGCCTAGTGGGGACGAGGTGGAGGTGTGGAGTGTTCTGGAGAGGAGGAAGGAGCTGACCACCGCCTGGGGGGTGTCCTAAGCAGGCCGACAGCTGCAGTTCCGCTGGTCGGAGCAAGTTCTACTGAGCACCTGCTGCTGGGCCGGGCCTGGGGAGGCAGGCCAGGCGCCCTGGGTGGGGTTTAAGGAGGCTCCCTCTTGGTGTTGACCCTGTTCTTCCACGTCTGAGCGTTGGGCTGCCCTCAATTTTGTGCCCTGGGTGCCTTGCTTGCCTCGCTGTCACCTTGGCCCTGGCCTGCAGTGTGCCTGGCCTGCACTAGGTGGTGGATGGCTGCTTCCTGTCCCTTCCCCAGATGTCCCCCGGGGACACGGTGCTACCCTCTCACTCTGCTCCCTGGCCCATCTCTCTCTAGTCTTTTTTCTTTTTGACATTTGTACTTTCTGGAAATGTTTACCTCTCAGAGGCTCTAGCTTCTTCTCTTCGGCTTATCCAGGCCCTTCACTTCTCACCTAATAATCTTTCACCCGGTAATTCCCTAATTTAGCTCCTAACCCTATGTGTAGGGACCCCCCCCCACACACACACGTGCACACACAGATGATGGATTCATCATGTAATAATATTAATTAATTATTAACACTCACTAAGGGCTCATGGACCAGGCTCTGACCTAAGTAGATAATTCTGAATGAGGATTATTTCATTTAATCTTTATAATAGTGCTGTTACCAGATGTACTCACCTTCATTCAGTACTTCCTCAGAGCGGGTGAGTAACTTGTGTGAGGGCCTAGACACTTGTACGAGATGTTTTATTCATCTTTGAATTCCCAGGACCTAGCACAGTGCCTGACGTTAATTGTTGACTGAGTGGAGGCTTGCAAAGGGAGCCCCCAAATTTCTCTCTCACCATCACCCCTTAAACACTTGTTTAGCTTTGTGTTTTGGGGAGAGGTGATGTTACTAAAGAATCGTTAGGTATGATTTCATAGGGAATTGTGTGAGTCCATAAGGAACTTCCAGAACAGTGAAAGAGACAAACACGAAAAATGTGTAAGACAGTGTAAAATACATTCATAATTGTGTGGCACAGACTAAACCTTGTAGGTTTCGGAGGAGACAGCAATCAGGGCGCTGAGTAGCAGGTGACAGCGCCGTGCGGGGCCCGAGCGTCAGAGCAGAGTGGGAGGCCCGCGTGTGCTCCTTCCTGAAATCCCTGCCGACCGCATGTTGAACACAGAGGAGCTGGAAGAGGCCCCACACGATTGGGTGGCCTGGGGTGGCCTCTCGTGTGGCCCTGGCCCCCAGGGGAGCTTGGGCAGGCAGGGGAGGTCTGGAGTGTCAGGACATGGGCAGGGCTGTTGGAGGGTGGCCTGATGGGGGCTCCTGTCTGGGGCAAAGGCTGAGGGTGGCAAGGTGGCTCCACAGCTGTGCCTGCAGCTTGTCCGGCTTCTGTCTCTGGACCCCTCCTGTGGTGGAGTGTCCCGTGTGCACCTGCCTCTGCCCCAGCCTGGACACTGCTGGCATTGGACTCCCCCCGGGCCCTTCTCAGCCAGATGCCTCTGCAGAGCCGTGGACGGCCTGAGAACCCAGGAGGCTCCGTCTGCACGGCGGCTCCCTGGGCCCCAGCCGGGGGGATTCTCAAGGAGGCCAGCCCTCTACCGCCCGTAGGTCTCTCACCCACCCCGGGGCCTGCCTCTGCTCTGCCAGTCTCCTCCTTTCCCCTCTGGGGGTGGAGAGCACGGGGGCAGCCTGAGGAATGCCCATTGCCCTCCTCCCTCAGGACGTTCCCGCCTGCAGCGTCCTTTCTGTTGCTCCGAATGAAGGGCCCCGCAGGTGAATGCTGGGATGAACTCACTGCCCTCCCCGACCCAGGTTCTCCTGGGGGAGTGTTAGCATGGCCTGCTTCACAGGGAAATATGTGAGTCACTAGTGAGTGGGTCAGGAGCGCGGACAGGCGAGCGGGACCACGAAACTGGTAATTATTCCCATTCATCCCGCTGGAAGGGCTTCCCAGGTGCTGGGCGTCTCTGCTTCTATCTGAGTGGGAAGGTCCCAGCACCTACTCCGGGAGGTCTCTCCTGACCACCCACCCAGCTCCTCCTGTGGACCTGGGAGGGCAGAGGAGAGAAAGCTGGGTCCAGTGCCCCCAGGGGCCCGGTGCCCCAGCTGAGTCCTCTGCTCCTCAGACGACAGGGCCACCTCCCTTGTAGGTGGCTTTGAGGGACCACAAGGGTGGCGCTGCTTCTTCAAACTGATGCCACGTCACCTGCCGCCTGCCCCTGCCGCGCTGAGCCTCGGCTGCATGGCCCCAGAGTGAGCCATACACTCTCACCCCAGGGTGGTTGCAGGCGCTGGTCCGATTCTGAGGCTTCCTCTCGGGATCTTCCTGCCCCCGTCCTCCTCAGCCACTTCCCCAACATCGCCATCTCGGGAAGAAGAGCACCCACAGGGAGCAGCACCCTCACCCACCCCGGACTCCTGTCCCCTTGCCTCCCTTGGCTTTTTTCCGCAGCCTTTTTCTGTCCTATCCGGTCCATACTGTGCGGCCCATCGGTGTATTGCTGATCCATGTCTCCCTCTGGTAGAAATTGCCAGGGGACAATTTTATGGTGTTCACCATTGAACCCCAGCACCCGTCTGGTCTGACTATGTGATAACTATAGAATAATGCCACAAAAATAAATGTTATATATATTTATGTATAATAAATATATAATATTTATATTATAAATATATTATAGATAAAATTATATTTATAATTTATAAATATGTTACAAATAAATATATATTATATATAATAAAAATAGCATGAGTGAATAAAGGAAAGTTATCCCCAGTTAGCCATGAGATATAATGATTTGCTGATTAATAATAGGAGAGTGTTTATACATTTTATTTCACAAGCTTGGTGTGAAAGAAATGCCTCATTGCCCCTTTTTCTTTTGACTAAGAAAAAGACTGAACCTTACCCACCAGCCTGTGGGAAAATTAGTCTGTCATTATCGAAGGGCCTTCCCTCTATCCCCCCTCGGGGTCATGTGAAGGTCAGGGAGGCTCCTGAGAAACAAAAATTGGGGGGACTTTCCAGGCTGCCCCAACCTCAGCCATCTGCTCCGTGCCCCCGGAGGCCTGCAGAGCCCTGGGTTCAGCCTCCTGAGGTCCCTAAGCGGCGATTTTTCGGGATCTTGCTGTCCATTTAAAGACAGAATTAGGGGAAGAAACTCAAGCCACTGAAGCAGAGGGGGCTTCCTGGGCCTGAGCGTTTTCGGCTCAGCTGCGGCCCCACCACCTGCACCCAGCCCTCCCCGGGCACGGAGGTCCCCCGCTTCCCTGTGGAGCGGCCCAGCACAGTTTCTTTCGGCCCCCACACCCCGCAGGGCCCTGAAGGGGAAACAGTCTTGCTCCTCCCGTCCTGGAATGGGGGAGGGAAAACCCACAGGAATAACGCCATAGACTGTCCTCCCGGGAAAGTCGAGTGCTGATGTTTTGTGAATGATTTTCTTCTTCCATTATTTTTATCAAATACAGCCGATTCAAGGCCATCCTGGTGATAATAGTAGCTCATTTCTATTTCTATTACGCATTTCTGTTACGTGCTTCGTGGAGTGGAAGGAAAGGGGCATTACAGGCCGGGCTCCGGTGAAGGGCGCACCTGGCTTCCTCTGTGGGCGCCGTTTAAGGTGGCGAGCACGTCTGTTGTGCCGGAGGCAGCAGGCCAAGGGCCGCCGGCCCAGCCCCCAGGCTGGAAGGCCCCCAGGTGTGCTGTGTGCAGCTGACCCCTGGGAGAGGAGCCCGACCTTTGGCTGCCGAAGAACTGAACTGGGAGTCAGGCCTCGAGCTGGCCGAGAGGTCCCTTCCCACTGTCTGCCTCAGTTTCCTCAGCTGTGATGGGCGAGGCCCACTCTGTCTCCCTCTTCAGACTAAGGTTGGGATCAAACAAGATGATATAGGTAGGGGGCCTGCCAGTGCGGGTCGCAGGTCTGCAATGTGTTTTAAGTTTGAATGAACGATCAGCATTTAACGTTTGTGGTGTTAAAAGTCTGGATTTCCAGCATCTCTTAGAAGACTGAACGGAGTGGCGTTTTGTGGTAGGGCCAACCTCTCACGGAGCCGAGTCCAGTGTGGGCTGGAGCTCAGGGCACCTGCCCGGGCAGGGAGAACGCACCCCTCACCTCTTCCCCTTCACTCGTTCCCCGTCTGGGCCCAGGAGGCCCGACTCCGCTCCCCGGAGGAAGTGAAGCGTTTTGTGGCAGCATAAAGTATTAATATATGGTTGGATTTTAGCCAGGCTCTGTTATAGTCTAAGTGGTCCAAGGACAGCGAAGATGACGAGTTGTTGAGGGAAAGTGAGGGCATTACGGGACCACCTCCAACTTCCTGAGCTGTGCAGGTGAGTAGAGTTGCTTCTTGCAGAGTCAGGATCCCACTCTCTCTAGTCGAAGGCAATGACCCACCTGCTTTTCTTCTTCCCCAGTGTTGTCGCAAGCCCCCTTCTACTCTTGTCTCCGAGCTCCTGTCCTTACTCCTTTGCTATCACTTCAGCGAGGTTTGGGGAGGGAGCGGAGATGACCATGTGTTTTGAGCCCTTGGCCTTACACCAGAGGAGTGTCCTTCGGCGGTGGAAAACTGGATTTCATTAAAAGGTTTGTGGTGTGTCTGGCCTCTGAGGACAGTGCTGGCCATCCATTGAGGGCCCTTCTGGTGTAAGTCTCTAGAGGCGGGAACTGGGGGACACGCCACCTGGGAGGTAGGAGGGCACTGTGGCCTTAGTCTGGCTAAGCCTGGTTTCTCTGAGTGAACAGTGTGTGACCGCGGCTGCAGAGAGAGGGGTGGTGAGGGGATGGATGGAGACGAGCAGAGAATGCTGTGAAGGTTTGTTATCATCATCCTCGTGGCTGGACTTCACCCCGGTCTCTGCTAAGTGGGTGATCAAGGCCATGTGTCACTTGGCAGAGGACAGCGTGTGGCTCTCTGGTAGACACACTGGCTTAACCCAGCACCTGAGCGTGAGTACCGACTGCCTCGTTCTCTTGCCAGAGGCCTCCAGTTTGGTTGGCAGAGTGGCGACCAGCTGGCCAATTGGACGGGACTCTTAAATGTCACGGACGTCCCAGAGTCACCCAGCGGCAATGACTCCAGCTCCAGGTACAGACCCGGGTGAATAACCAGGGAGGGGGAAGCCTGCCTTGGGGTGACCCTGACCCCCCGCCCCATGGCCCAGCCCCAGAGCTGTCCTCAGGGGAGAAGCCTGCTGGGCACTGTGGCTCAAAGTTCATTGCATTTTGGGATCCTGCCTTGTCTCCTTCCACAGAAGGGGTGAGGGCTAGGACCAACCACAACTAAGTAGGGACTCACTGGCCTGTCCCTCTGTTGGGGGGTGGGCTGGGGGTGGCCTGAGCTTCAGACTCCATTTGAGGTTGGGGCATCAGATTCGTGCCTGCTGCAAGGATTTGGGATATCAGCCTGCATGTGTGTATAGGTGTGTGTGGGGTGGCATCAGGGTGGGTGTCAGCGTGGGCTCCCCCCCGAAGTCCCACTGTGAAGGCAGTTCCTCCCCTCCCCCTGAATGAGGCTGATGTTGTCTGGGGAAGACCCGTTTCCATCCAGACGGCTCTGAGATCTGGTGTTCACGCCATCGTGTGGGTATTTCTTCTCAATCTGTTGTCATGGTTGGGAGCTAAACCCAGTGGTCCAGGGTACTCTGCATGCCCAGCAGTCATTATTCACTGAATGACTGAAAATGGAATATTCTCAGGCATAATGCACTCAATGCAGGGGGGGAATCGTGGGGAATTTTTTCGGACAAGGCAGGATGCTCTCTGTGCTTGGAGCTGGGTGTGGACAGCACCCACCAGCAAAAGGTACCAGGGGCTGGTTCAGTGGTTTTGTTTATTCATTTTTGCATTTCTAAGTACAGGCTAACTCTCAATTTGTTTCCTTAAGAAGGAGGCCTGAGTGTTTTTGCTGTTAATATTGACCCCAAAACATTAAACTGAACTCGTAGAGAAACAGTGTGTTTTTCAAGGACCCCCAATACTTAAGATTTTGTTCAATGCTTTGGAAAAGAAAAGATATGGCTCCAAGGTGTTCACAGGCAAGCTGTAGGCTGTTTGGGTGGCCTCGGGCCATGAACTGGCATCAGGGCCTTATACTGGCCTTTTTAAAAAAGACTTTATTTATTTATTTTTAGAGAGAGGCAAAGGGAGAGAGAAACATCAATGTGTGGCTGCCTCTCACATGGCCCCCACTGGGGACCCAGCCCGCATCTCAGGCACGTGTCCTGACTGGGAATCAAAGCAGCAACCCCCTGGTTCACAGCCCGCGCTCAGTCCTTTGAGCTACACCAGCCAGGGCTGTACTGGCCTTTTAAGAGCTCAGTTCCGTCCACAAGGGTGTGCTGGAGGCCCTGGCCACCCTCTTGGCCTCTGGGGTGTCACCTAGGGAGAGGGAGGGGTCCAGAGTTCTCCCTTCCCAATGTTGAGCCTTCAGTGGAGGCCCTTCTGTGTGCAACCCACCCACCCAGAGGGGGCCGTCCAGACAAGCGAGCAGCCTCAGCCCCCCAGGGAAGGGCGCAGTGAAGAGCTCGCGGGGAGGTTTTGGCTAGAAAATGCTAATCCACTGAGTAAGACAGGGAGGCTCCTGGGCGGTGGCTGAGAGCCCTGCACAGGGACTGTTTGTAACGTTTCTGGCCTGCAGCAGCATTTCTCTGGCCTCCCGCTTTCTGCAACGCTGTCTGATTTCTCGGCCTCTCCCGCCCCACCTATTCTCTCCCTTTCTTTCTGCCACCCTTTCTTGGTCCGCTTTTCTTCTCCGTCCCTATTTCCTGCTTCCCTCCTCCACTTCCTTTCTTTCTGCAGCCGGTCTCAGGTCCCTCCCCTTTACTTTCTCCTCCTGTCTCAGTGGGTGGGTCAGCCTCCCCTTCCCTGTCAGCTGGGATTTCTCAGGGCCCGAGATCGCTAGCAACGTCAGCTTGGTTTTGGAATTAAGGGCCCCTTTTATTCAACGTTGTCACCAGCTGAGCTGATTTCCTTCTGGAGAGCCACCATTTGACCAAGGACTTCCTAAGAGATATGATGACCCCATGTTCCAAGTTTTTCCAATTTTGGATTCCAATTTTTGGCGGAGAAACCCCAATATGTGGGAAATAATGATGAGAGTAATTATAACTGACCTGTACGTGCAGGATTCTTTTTTAGCCTTGAAGTAGGAGCAGCTTCTGCCTTCTTCAAGATGGGCAGGTCCGCTCCTGCCGCAGATGTGCAGGGCCTGGGGGAGTGCGTGGCCCGGATGCAGCCGGGAGGCATGGGCCGTGCTCCCCAGAGTGAAGAACGTCGTCCCCACCACCTGTGGGTGGGGTATCGTTCACCTACTGAACAATTCAGTGCGTGCCATGTTTTGCTACATACAGTTGTGCGGTGTGTTGAAGTGCGGTACAGCCTGTTATCATTCGGTATTGACAGAGCTGGAAGAGAAACCAGGGGGTACCATATATATAACCAGAGGGGAAAGAGGGGAAACAAAGCCAATGACTGGTGAATCGTATACTCAACCAGGAGCCACAAGGAGAGGGAGCAGGTCCAGGTGATCCGTCTGGAACACACCCAACAGGATCACAAAGAACATGCAGGCCAGACAGGGCTGGTGAAGGCTGTGGCCAGCTGTTCTCACTGGGCCGAGCCAGAGGAAGTCCAGGCCAAAAGGGAAAGTGAGTGAGCTATAAAACATACATGCACATAGTGCTTCATTCATTTCAAGCCTGAGTGTAAAAGGGGTGTCCAATAAGCGTCTTAGGGGAGCTGCTTTAATGAGCAGATAGGAATAATTTTCCAGCAGCAAATGCTTCGATGTAAGTGGGTACTTGACGGTTCTTCTCATGTTCAAATTATGTGTTAATGTTTCCGTCTCCCGACTAGACAGCGATGGTGCCTCTCCATCCTTCAGTTCTCAGTCCCCCGTATGGCACCTGCACGGAGTAGGCGCTTAATAAATGTTTGCTTGAATAAAAGAAGGAATTAGGCAGGAACATAATAAAGGCTGTCGGTAAGAAAGCAAACTTCAATGTCATGTTCCCTGAATTCTCCTTTAGAGATTTATTCCTTCAGATTAAACCTTGTCTTCTGTCTTTGAAAATTGATCCCCAGGAAGGGAATACACTTTGGAATCATAAGCCCATTCACAGTTTGGGATGATCAGAGGATTTTTTTCTTGAGGGAGAGCAGGTAGTAGGGTGGTCTCAGAGTTCTGCGTGGCAGGGTGGGACAAGGGGGACTGACGTGGGGGAGGGGTTGTAGCAGAAGGAGGGGGAAGGCATGAAAGCAGATTCTATACTTCTGCAATAACTGACTGAGTAACCCTCCCCTGCATTCTCCACAGAGCTTCACAGTTCTGGGAAAGGTAGATGGGGAGGGTGAGGAGAAGGGAGGGAGAGCATTGTCCTCCTGGCCAGCTGGACCCCTTGGGCTTGGCCAGTTGCCTGCCTGCCCAGTGATCCATCACTCAGTGGTTGAGGGCAGCAGTGCCCTTGGTGGTCTTGGTCCCGCAGAGTGGCCAGTGTTGCACCCGCTGCCCCAGGACATCCCAAGGGAAGGGTCCCCAGTCACGGGGTGAGGGCAGCTAAGGCAGGAGCCCCCAGGCCCTGATCTCAGCCTGGCCCGCAGCCACAGCATGAAGGGCTTCACTCAGCTTCTGCCAGCTGCGCCCTGCTCCACATCCAAGCCCTTGTCCTCCCGCCATTATCTACTCCCTCCCCACCACCTCCCTGAAGCCTTCCCTGTTAGCCCTTTTAACTCTATGTTTTGGGAGATGTGTCTGCACAGAGGGCTATTTCTATCATTAAGCTCACAGAGAACTTATGGAGTCTCCTCCCTCCCTGGAGGTCTAAGCTGGACCCCTGTGCAAGTAGGGTCTTGTGGACCCTCATACTTCAGACACAGCCCACAGGTGGCCTGGCTGGCCCCTTCTCACAGACTGTGCACAGCCTCGGTCCTCCTGGTCTGGGACAGGATGGCAGGAGGTGGTGTGCAAAGATGACTCAGGGGACACTTCTCTCTGAGTTCTGGAGCAGAGCGGGCTGGGCTGCAGCCCACCTAAGCTGCCTGCTCCCAGGACAGCACACTCCCCGTGCGGCTGGGCTTCAGACTGGAGTGCGGGGGCTTCCTAGCCGGAGGGTGGCACCAGCCAGGGGAGAACAGAGCAAGCAAGCCCCCGGCTGAGCGCCTGGGGCCTGGGCCAGAGCCTTGCTCTCTGGGGTGAGCCCTGTGCGAGTGTCTAGCATGCACTGCACAGTGTGGGGCTTGGAATTGTCATGTTTCAGAGCAGGAAGGAACCTGATATAATTCAGTTCAGCACTTTATTATGCTGTATTGAATTGTACCCTAATTGTTTCAAGACAGTGTATAATTAGGTAATAAATTGTGTGGGCCAGATGGCGAGCGCTCTGAGAGCTCCGTGTGGAAATCAGAGGCACTTCCACGGAGGGGCGGGGCTTGGCTCAGACCTCCGCGGGCATCGCTGCTGGGGGCTGTGTGCCAGGCCTCTTGCTGCATTTGTGCCTCACCCTCAAACCTTTGGTTTGGCTACTGTGATGGCCCCATTTACCGATGAGGAAACTGCACTGCTACTTCTAGGTGGCAGGTGCCCGATCCAGGGTGACTCCGGGGTCCCAGCACTAACGGGCCACGCTGGATGGATGGATTCTTCCTTCTGGGCTGTGGACAGGTGTCCCAGGGTTGGGGTGCATCCCCTCAGCTCTCCTTCCCAAGTCCTCTCACGCTGCCTGGTCTCACCCTTGGCCCCCTGCTGTTGGACTGGAGTGCAATAGCTGGGTTTACTCCTGGCAGGTGGTTGTGAACACGCCCCCTTCCTGTAGCGACTGCTGTCATTATCGCCACAGGCAAGAGGATCCGTAGGGTCTCTCACCTCCCCTCTTCTCTTTCCCATTTTTTGTCTTCTGTGTTACCCCTTCCCCATTCCTGTGCTTAGTATTTCCTGATTAGTATCCCTAAAAAAAAACGCCTCCTTCCACCCCCTCCTGGGAATTCTGCTTTTCAAAGAGGAGCCCCCACTGGTGACGTTACCTACCCCAGGGGAAAGAACTTTCTTTGGAGGATTTTCAGATGTGAGGAGAGGTACTGGAGGCCAGGAAG